AATTACAGGTGTGTGGTATGCCCTGTTTAAGAAAATCGTTTCTAAGAGAACTTCCTAACCTCCTGTGTTTAGGTTAGGGGCCCATTTTTGCTCTCATTGTACCTTGGTATTTTCTTGTCTATCTCTTAGCTTCCTGTATTATAATTGCCTCCTTAGGTGATTGAGAGGAGAGACAGTCATATTCATATTCTACCCTTCCATCCAACAGAGTGGATATTCAATAATCGCTTGTTCCATGAAGGAATGAGGTCTGTAAGTCAGACTAAATTCTCTCCAGGCATTTTCAGAGTTATTCTGGAAGTACTTCATTGTTTCTTCAGGTTCTCCTGCAATGAGGAATGTACTGTTTACAAGTTTTACCTACCTGTCTAAAAGTTACATCAAATAATTTTGTGGGTTTGGATTCTTAGTAATACACATAATATGAATAAAGGAATCTCACAAGTACAACCCTTCCATTGAACTTACTTTTTATGAGAACAAACAACCATGAGAAATGATCATTAGCTTTTGACTAACTTGACTTTCCTCCGATATATTCTCAAAGAGCAAAAGTGGACTGAAATCAAGAAACCGAAGAACCACGGAAAGAAGTCCAGTCAAATGCGTCAACTTCTAGGTCCCTTATTCCTTGAATAATCAGCAATTAAACCATTCTCCATTGCTCAGATATTGAATATGATCAAGTCTGGATTTATTTTTCACAACTGAAGTTTATTGTCTTATATGAAGTTTTTTCATTACTATTTCTTTGACACTTATGGGAAGTATATTTTTAAAAACATGTATGAAAAGTCCACAAACTTTCTGATCTTTGTGACTCTTCTAAAAGATAACTATCTGCCCCAGGACCCTTTGTGCATGAATGGGATCAAGTGAAGTGTCCTTCATGGGCCAGGAGACAACATAGGAAGCCACTATACCATGACTGGAAAACACACCAACAGTAGAGCAAATGAACTGAAAGGAAGAGGAACAAAAGGCACTTCCCCTGCATCTAATAGAAGGAAGTGGGAGGGATCAGAAGGAGCTCCATAGCTTTCGTGGTCATGTGATTAAGGGGAAGCCATGATTGGCACCTGGAAGAATAAATCAGTATTTTGAAGTCTTTTTTCTATCGTTGCTTAAGGAAAGCAATGAAGAAGCACCTGATAAATAAAATCTCTTACCTGAAACATAGAAAAAAGGAACGTAGTTCCTGCAAAATACCTTCACCCCTCAGTAAAGACATCAATCAACTGGGAATATAAATGGAATAAAGAGACCTTCAGTGCTATCCCATGGGGAGAAATGTAGAGTGCATCTACCTGTGGTCTTCATAAAAATTTGGGGATGTAAGAAATCTGTCCTAGAGGTACACGGTGGCGATGGGGATTGTTTTGTGTGATCTTTAAGCAGAGGACTGAGGGCCTGCAAAGTGCAGAAGGTATATTTCTTGTGTTGACCATTTTATTATTCATGTCTCCTGTATTGCTTTCTAATAAGTTAAGAACGAAACGGCAGACTGCATGCAGGAGTGAGAAATGCAAGAAAAGCAGTACTGTAAAATAAAAATGAACCAAAGTGCGTCTCAACTTCCCTTTGATTACTAACAGGCAAGAGAACAACAATGCCCAATTTTATTGTGATTACTGAACACTTCACATTGACAAAGGGGCTTTACAGTCATTTTTACATGTTATTTCTCAAGGCTTTTTCCAATAGAGGCTGGGGGGGGGGGGCTCTGTCACCATTCTTAAACATCAATTCTACCACATCATATTAACTGATTATTTTAAAAAGGAAGATTAAAATGCACTTGGTGCCAGTATGTCACCAAAACAGTCTTTTTTAGTGAGAATAATTGTCCCTTTGCTGTTTGAGGGGATCAAACCATTGACTGGTTAACTATTTGAATTATGTTTTCTTTATGTTATACAGAACCACTTTTTCCTTCTCACTTACCTCTACTTGTTCAATGTATTATTACTGAAGTGTTTCCACCTTGCGTAGTGTTTCCAAAGTCCTTTTAATTCTTCTGTGTTATGTAACATGTGTAAATAGTGTGGCACCCCTAAGCAGGTGCTTGTGCTTCTGCTTGTAGAATGGCATCTCTTAAAGAGGAACCTGTCTGTCAGAGGTGCTGAGAAATGTTTGCTCAAGCAAAACAGACACGGTAGGCTAAGGTTCAGAAGCGCCACCCAACCTCAGGTGTTAGGTGTCTGTTAGTTAATTTGTTAGTTTGTATGGAGACATTCATTCAATAAATAAACAGACCCCAAACTGGCAGGCCATCTCCTACCTTCAACCATCATCCTTACCTCCCTAATAAATTAGCTTAGCACTTCTGGGGCAAGAAGGGCAGTGGGAAGTTTGGAAATCCCTAACGTCTGATTGGATTTTGGGTGCAGTTGGATATTTTCTTATTTGATGAGAAGCATTTCTTTGTTTATGATTATGTGGCCCAAATAGTATGAAATTGTGTCAGTTACCTGACTTCCTTCAACTTGGCCAAATAAAGGCCTTACTTAAAAAAATACAAACTACCAATAACAGAAATTATCCAGATTAAAATGCCTACCTTTTTTTTTCAACAAATACAAAAAAATAAGCCTTCACTTGGGGCTGTGTAGGCACAGCCTAGCAGGAAATAAACTCAATTTTTTGAAGTTCAAGTTCTAGTGAGATGAAGAGTATAAGAATAGAAATTTATTTCGAAGCTATGAGTTTGTCTAAGTATAGAAATACATTCCAAGATCTTTAAATATATTTCTATTATAAGAACTTTTCTATATTTATACTAATTTATTTCCTTTTATTTCAAATCTGGCCGGATGAGCCAAGACCCCCATTTATGCTTACTTCCTAATCTGTAGATTATTACATGTGACCTATGAAAACTATGGATAATAGGCTCTCTCCTCTGGAGCACTGGGTGCAACATCATTGCCATTACAGAGTTATCTTTTTTCTCTTTGCACAAAGGGCTTGGGCTGACTGAGGCTTCTAAGGTATAAAGATACAGTCCTGTGCTAATGTTGGCAGTGGTATTAAAATAAGAGCAAAAGTATCTACAATTTATTGAGTACATGCTACATGATAGATGATTTATAAATGTAATGTCGTTTAAAAAAATATTCAATGACTGACAAAATAAAGAAATTAGGACTCAGAATATATTTATGACTTGCTCAAAGTCAGAGATCTGGGCTTGATCCAGGATGCAGAGTTCATGTGCTCTTACAATACCCAAGTAGGAAGTTAAATCAGGCAATGGGGTGACCATCTATTCCAGTCTGTAAGTCTTGACCTGGCCTAATTAGTAGACCCCCACTTCCCATGCTCAAAAGTCTCCTAGTTTGGGTAAGAAGTTTGATGATCAACCTATCTCTATCCAAGGTTCAAAATGAACATAAGACTTTGCATAGGTATTGTTAATCAATCTCTTTGCCCTTACTAGAGGACTTCAAATAAGTAGCAAATTGGATGAAGGTTGGTATATTTGGAAAAACAGGTGGGTTAGCAAATGAATGTCATTTACTAGTAGGGTCTAAAATCTCCCTGTCCCTTATGCTCCTTTTTTTCTGTTATCTCTCCCTAAGAGTATTCTGACCTTCATCTTTTTTCTCTCCTCCTCCTAGTCTCCATGGATCATCCTATTGATCCTATTGATCAAGTGTTCTCAAATTGATTCTTTGGTTTTACTTTAGTTTTCATTTCTGATGAATCTTTAAAATACAGCTCGATCACTCACTCAGATGTTTAAGCCACTATTAATGGTATTTTCATCCAAAGAAGAACAAATATCTTTAGACATCTCTAACTTATTTTTCCTTTCTTCATCTTAATCTCACCATTACTATTCTACCACTTCTTTACTAGAATCATAGTACAGTGGTGTCAGGGAGCATTATTGTTGCAATTCCTGGATGATGATACTGCAGGTTTGGTTGGGGTGAGCCAGCTCCGAAATGTATTATCACAAGCACCACCTCACAAGTCTTAGCACCTCTTCTTCTGCTCTTTTGGGCAAACTCTGGCCCTGTTTCTATGATTTGAAAGGGCTTTCAGGAAGAGCAAAGGGAATTATTTTTGAAAATACTCTGGTAAAATATCTAACTGCTTAAAAGACACATGCAATAAGAAAATCTGACTTTTACTTTTGTTGGTCTTAAATGCATGGCTTTGATTTATGGATCAAAATTGCTCATTTATTATTTTATCTATACAGCTCTGGGCAATTTTGACAGTTAAAATTTAGTTTTATTGACCAGTGCAGCCACTGTGCCCACGAGGGGACTGGTGCACACAGCCTGCTGCACTCAAGAAAACGATGATTTTTGATTCCATGACTGAGTCAGACTGGGAATCATAACCGATATAACAATAAGTTCCAAATCTCAGTGCCCAAGGCAAGAGGTTTGCTGTAAAACACAATCACCCTTTCAGGAGGGGAGGAGGAGACTCTTGGCTGGAAGTTTGCAAGTGCAATTTAATGCATCTGGGCCAGGCCATGAATATATCTGTCCATCCAAGCTGTGGAGCATCTGAGGGGGCATTTCTCTAAAGACCTGGTTCCACAGACTGATTAATGAGCAAAAATGTCTAAAAAGCAAAATGAATGTTAGTTACAGCAACAGTAAACTCAGCAACCATTTTAAGGAGAGAAAACTTACTAGTGCTGTTAACCAACCTTTCATTTTTCAATCAACCAAAAAAAAAAAGAAGAAATTTTAGGGGAAGATCGCTACTTCCCCTGTCTTGCCCATTCCAACACACACAGAAACATAAACCAGTACAATGATTTGAGGCCAGTTTTAATTTAGGCCTATTCAACTACCAAATTGGCCACCTCTGCAATGTTAACTTAGTCTTTTACTCTAAATCCCCCATGATACGTAAATAAACCTCCGCAGGGTAACAAATCAATAAAATGTCTAATTTGATTAACCATGTTTTCGAATTCATCAAGACAGCTTTAACCTGAAATAAATAGGTGAGTAAATAAATAAGTCACTCACTTGTGAGTATTTTCCATGTCTTCTTTTCATCATCGTAATACTGAACCAAATTGCTGGGGAGCCGGTCAGGTCCGGGCGGCAACCCTCCAACCAATAACAGCATTTTCTTGTTAGAGCGAATTCTTCACCCAAAACAAAAGAGGAGATGAATAACCACATTATTGTAGAGTCTTTTTAGTGGCAACGAAATCATAACCATCAAAAGAATGTTCCTTGCTTGCAGATTTCTATTTCATTTTTTCCTGTTTCTTTTCCCATTCATGTCTCAACATTTTTTTTTAACTAAGCAGAAAAATGATCAGAAGAACTGCATATCCCTATACTCATGGAATAATAAGCTCCCTTTATGCAATTTGTTAGAGGTTCATTCTAGAACGACCTTTTTCTTATATTATCCCTTTAAATCATCACTCTTTACAGCTGAGTACACATGGAATGCTCTGGAGTGGTACTAAGGTTAAGCATTAAAGTTGCATGTCAAAAATCGTATTAGTCAAAATCATTATTATAAGCCATTCTCCACTCAAAGAACCTTGAAAAAATTAAGGTTATGCAGAGAGTTTGTGAGCCAACTCTTTAATCACTCAGGCAACTTCCAAAACCAGTCTGGTACAATTAGTAGCACAGGGCTAACTAGGATGGGTTAACCAGTTTGAACATGAACTTTTTTTTCCCCCATTTGTTTAATTTAGCTTAGACTTCTGCCTCCATCCCCTCTCCCCCACTCCCAGCTCGCCCTCCCCTCTGCTCTCCCCCTGTGCACCACTGGCGATACAGAAGCTCCAATTGGTAAAAATGAGACTGTGATGTTGCTGTGAGCCTCCCCTGAGTGGAGCCCTGCCAATGCTTGCCACTGATCCAGCGGCATGAACCTGCTCAACTGTGCAAAGTCACTCTAATTCCCTCCCTCTGTTTTTCTACCTTCTCCCCCAGGGGGCAACCACTGAAAGGAGTGACTACCCACCCATCAAGAGCTGGCAATTCGCTGCTATTAACCGTGACTGTGATTCCCAGTCTGCCTGGCAGTTCCTGAGAACAGGCCTGCAATGTCTCATATGCAGTAAAAGCTATAAGATGCACCCTGGCCAGCGAGGCGACCTGATGGATGTACAACCCTCAGGAATAGTAATGGATTGAGCACACGTGCCACTGAAGCAGGGAGAGGAGGCCCAGACCCCCACAAGGGGCCTGCTGATTTAACAGTCACTTTACATATAATTGAACTTTTCATTTACCTGAAAGGCTCAAGGTGGTGGTAGGAGAAACAGAACGACCATGATTGAAGGAAAAAGTCAATAAATACAAAAGGGTTCCTCTTACATATGATCACAACCCATAGTGTGGCTCTGAATCTATTATTACCTATTCAGCCCCTTCCGATTCAAGGATGCTTGGCGAAATAGGCCCCGTGGAGAAGCACTGTTTGTTGGTTAAGAACCTAACATTCAGAGAGTTAACTTAATACAGTTAATGACATTTCCATATGAAGAAAGGGAACTAGAGAATTCCTATAATGAAACTCTGGTGCCACTGAATGCTTTGTGTATGTCTCACTAGGAAAATATCTTCTGGACAAACTCCTATGTTCCAGACTCATCGATAGAGGGAGCTGTACTTAAAGAAGAATGACTAATGCAATAGGAGCTTACAATGTTAATTTTGCCACTCTGTGGATATAGTTGAGTGTAAAGAAAAACAAGCAAATGAACTAACCAACCAACCCAACTTTTTTGAATTTAATGTGTCCTTGACCTACATCCATATGCCCTATAGACTGCTGGTTGGCAAACAAAAACAGTAAAACAGCAAAGACTCCAAAAACAGTAAAACAGCAAATTCTCCAATGAGAATTTTGGTGACTGGGTAGAAACAATACACATGTAATTCATGTGCCATATAATTTCATAAATGCATGCTCATAGGACTGATATATAGCTGTTTCTTTTGTTATCATTTTTAGTCCAAATAATCAACTGCTTTGTAAGACAAGTCAAAGTGAAAGCAAACAGTCCTTTTAGGTGCAGTAAGTTATCATGTGTAGACGGACCTGTTCACCTGAAGTCATGATTCTGCAACTGCCTGACACCACATGTGTACATGTGGCCAGAATGCAGATAGGAGGTAGAAGACCAAGATGGGCAGGATAGACACAGAGAAAAGGACTTACTGAAGTACTGATCATGACAGAAACATCATAATAGTATCTGTTTTAATTCATAAATAAATGTACTGCTTCAAAATGTACTCGATGAATGACAAGGACGTAAGCACGTGGCTCAAGTATGTTTATAAGTTTGTATCAGTAGTTGATAAAACTGGCTTCCTTGGACCAATCTCACTCGTGATTTGCTGCCCTTGTTTGTGGATGAGAAGAGGATCTCGAGTCTTTGCCCTCTCTGCCTAAAAAGCCAGCCATTTCCATCTGTCCTCTGCAAACTGGCCTGAGGCCTTCAACACATAAGCCACTGTATAGTTTGTCAAAGGTAAACACCTCCTCCCTGGTAGCAATGACATAATGCTACCAGGCTGGCTAGCCTAGCAGCACAGCAAGACCCCACATAACTAAAACAAATCCCTAAACCATGTGGGTCTCTGCAGGGAATGTGGTAGATTTTATGGAAGAAAAGGAACTCCCACCTACCCTCATGGGTTGTGTTTTCTGTGAAGGGTCCGTGCTTCGAGTGCATTATGTATGGCCTTCTTAGTGACTAAAGACACAGCCCAAATTTTTTGCAGTATTGTATCATCATCCAATTTGTTATGGCATTTTACTTGGAGTCTTTTGTCTCAAAAGCCTGTGTTACACAATTGTCCAAACCAGCATTTATATTATTTAATTCTAAATAAAGCTTCAAGCTGTATTGTGTGAGGGTGAACCACACAGAAACCCCAAATAGGACAAAGCTTGTGGGAAGTTCGTGATACAGAAGGAAGAACACATAGACAGCGAAACACACTTGAGAGGTTTTCTTGCCATTTTCCCTACTGACTCTCAAAACAGCCCGTAACGTGGCAGGTCATTTTACAGAGGAGTGAGAAAGTTCCCATAGTTGTCATTTAAAACACATACATTTTAGCATTGCATGAAACTATGAGACCCTGGATCCAAAGAAAAAGGAACCTAACAGAGATTATTCCACATTTCTTCTTGCTGAAGAAAAATACAAATGAGAAAAACCATCCCATATTTTACTTTGACAAAAATGCAACGTCAACTATTCAATTACTCCTAGAAAGTAATACACGTGAATAATTCCCGTGGAAAAGCTTTCATTCTTTTTACCATGCACAATTATAATAGCGACAATGACAATAATGACAGATAATAATGAATGTGTATTGGATATCGAACCTCTGATTATCATGCCATTTATTTGCTATGTGTGAACTTCAATCTGAACATACCGTGAAACAATAGCACGTGAATTGAAAAAATAAAATTAAGAAAATCTAACTGTGTTGAAGGGGGTTTCCATTATTCTTTTCTTATATAATTCCAGCAAAGCTTTACAGGTTTAATTTTAGATTAGGCAAAATCTACAAATGTAGCCTTCTTGCCATAATTAGAGCTCCTTCATAGGGCAACATATGCTCTTTATATAGGGAATCAATTTAGTCAAAATTAATATGTACTTTTCATAGCTTTTTATTACTTTAAAAATATTGCTCTCATTCCTCATTTTAGCACCACTGGGACCAAAGTAATGTATTTAGAAGATAAGAAATTAGAGAAATTTAAACATGAAGCTGAGTACAGCATGATCAGTAATATTATTTGTATGCCTTTGACTTGAGTTCTTAGATTTTTTAGATCCAAAAATATAAGGTTAAAATGGCGATGGAATTTGAAGGTCTCCTTTGTTCCATCTCAGTAATTGCCCAACATTTACCAAGTGTCACATTTGGGTATCTGTGCGCATGTGTGCATGTATGCTCAGGAGCATACCTACTTTGGTTCCGGGGATGAATGATTGAAGGATGACCTAAAACCTCCCGGTGTAAACAAATTTTTCATCATACTGGTGTTTAGATATGGTAAAATCTCATTTATTTATATTTCAGTGATTTGGAACCTTAATAGTTGGGAAACAGGCCAGATAAAGTTATCCTTTCCATGATACATGAAGAAAGTTTTCATTCACTAGATTGCAAGAAGGAATTTTAATCTACTTAAGAAATCAACTGGTTAGCAGGCACTTTAGAGCTACCTCTGCGGGGTTAGACCATATTCACTTTACAGACTACAGATAATTCTCATTCATTTATAGATGAAGTTCTTTCACAATGCTGTAAGAATTATCAAATCACAGAGTTAGAGGGAAAAAATTGTGGTACTCTAGTTCAGTGTTGTCCAACTTTGGCAGTTCACTAGAGTCATCTAAGGGGATTAAAATTTTAAAGTTCTTGATAGATTGTCAGTTTCCAATGCTGAAAGATTATGATTCAGTGGGATGAGGCTTTAAAATTGTCCCACAAACTTCCAGTTGATTCTAACACATTGCTGGACCTGGAGCCACTCACTAACTTTTTCCATTTCTCTGTGTAATGTAGAAATTCTGCTAAGAATTTATAAGTAGTAGTCTTTATCTATGTAGACAAGTTTATAATGAAATGAACCTTAGTTTTTCAAAACCTTAGTCTTATACTCTATTATTAAAGATAATAGAGTTTTGAAGTTTATAATGAAATGGATCTTAGTTTTTTACTCTATTATTGAAGGTCGTTGGATAGTTGAATTCGATTTTTTTTTCTCCATGTGCTGGGCTGAATAACCTACCTATGTCTTCCCCAGAGAAGCATGCAGAAATTCAAATGTTGGAGATACTTGCCAAATATCCTCTTCTCCATGTTGAAAACTCATATTTCTCTCTGAAAAAGCTTAAATTTTCCTCACTATCCTGGTCACTGCCTTTTAGTACACTTTAGACTATCTCAGTTCCTTTGAAAATGTGAAGGTCAAAATTATACACATTGTAACACATGTGATATGACAGATAACAAATACATTTTTTTTCCTTTTACAGTCTCTTAAAATCATTGTAGTCTTTTAAGGGAGTCACAAAGCATTTTTGCTTCCAACTAGTTACAAACATGGATTTTTTTTTAAAAAAGCAATGTTTTC